AAAAACACCACAAATAAGTCAAAAAGCTACAAAAAAATCAATTAAAAAACATCACAAATTAGTCAAAAAGCAACAACAACAAAAAAACACTCAAAAAACGAGTCAAAAAGCTACAAAAATAACTTTTTTAAGCAACACAAAACCAAAATGAGAGAAATCTCACACCAGCTAGCCGTTTGCACTTTGCTTATGTAAAACTGCTGCATGACATCACACTAGAAAGATTTAAAACCGTTTCTTTTAAAAGGTATTAAAGCGGTCTGAGATTCCAGATTCTTACCAGCTCTGGAAGAAAATATTTTTAACACTTTTCTATGTTTTCTTGATTTTTTTTAATAAATATTAAAAATAACTTCTAATAAAGTTTAGATTTGCACATTTCTACAGACTCAAATGATTGCTCGCCCTTTAATCCAGAGGTTGGCTGAAGTTTGGAACAGAATAGATGGTGTCTGGTGCCCATGACTCCAATCAGGCAACTTTAGTTTCTGAAGTCAGACCCTGACTGTTGATGGTTGTGACCTTTCTGTCATCTTTGAGGTAAAACTTCTAAACCTTTGTTCTGTGTTCATGCCAGATGGAAACATCAGCATCAGACCAGTAAATCTGGACCAGCTGAGCTGTGTTTTTGAGCAGCGCTTACATCAAATCAGAGATTAATGAGCAGATTCACAGATTTAATGGCTCATTTTGGTCGGAGAGGGCTTTACCTCTGACGGCTGATTACAATCGGCTCCGCTGATCTAAATGAGGTCAAACTAAACTAAACCGGCGTATATTCAGATTGCTTCCATCCAACCGGCCCTACTGGAAGGAAAATAACCTGCTTTTCTTCAGCTAAATCACAGAATCTTGTGTTTGACCAAACCCAGCCAAAGACTTTCGTAAGTGTTACACGTTACGATAAAAATCACACTTTCTATCACAAGAGTGACGTTAAAAACCCCAAGAAAACAGACCAGAGTTCAACATCTCCGTCATTTATCTCCTAGCGGTGTCCTTAAGGCTGGTGTGGACCATCTCACGTGGACATCTCAGCCCCCTCGGTGTCTGGAGACCTTTAATCTCCTTTCAGCAGCACGTCTTGCGACTGCTCGGGGGCTCTGTTCTCCCGCCTGTCCTTCATTTATCAGGTTAAGACTCAGACAAACGCCGCTCACCTGCCAGACACTCATCACTCCCAAACAAACACTCACTTCTGCAGCTTCTCCGGCTTCTTCTCAACCTTCTCCGGGTACGGGATGATGAGGTCGATGGCATTGTCCGGCTTCTGCAGTAACACTCCCAATTTAGTCTTGATCCCTTTAGCCCTGGGTTACGCAAAAAAACACAAGCAGACATTGAGTCTTTGTTTTTACATTTTATGGGATTTACTTGATCCAGCCTGACATATTTTCTGATATACGTGGCGTGGAATTATAGAAGTGCCCAAGTAAAACAAACCAAAGTGTGTTTCATCAACTTACTGAAGCAGTTCTAAAGCACTATAACCATTTACATTTGTTTAAAAATCTTAACACTTGTATTTCATCTAGTGTTTAGAAATTAACTTCAGGTAATCGGCATCACGGCTAAAACACCAAAAGTGCCATTAAACCAGCAATGTAACAAAAATGTCAGAAACCAAAGTATTAAAGATGTACAAACTGTTTTTATTTGACTTTTAATGGTTTTCAGATAAAAACTAATGACTCAAAGGGTTCCCAGAGGTGATGTTTGGGATCCCAGCAACAGAACAGAGTAGAGGTAGCATAATGATGCGTCTCACCTTTCCAGGCAGCTTTGAGGTAACGCAGCTAATCCTTTACACATTTTACAGCCCCGTCAGTTGCAGTTATGTCAATGCGATCTCTGTTTCCCTGCTAGTCTTCTGAGTTCCTGTCACTGTCTGACTCTGGCTTTCAGCACTTGGGAGTTTTATACAGACGCCCTTTGGGCTGGAGGCCAACCGCTAAGCCAATCAGACTGGAATGTGTTCAGCACGGGCGCTGAAGGTCCCCGGCTCAGGAAGGGCGTGTCTTCAGGTCCAAGTGGGTGTTCACCTTCAGGTTTTAGTAAACCAGCAGATCCTGGGGAAGGAAAAGCACAGACGTCAGTTGTTTTTAAACCGCTTTGGTGTTTATTTCATTTTTAACAAGAGCTTTCTAGATGCTTTATTTTTTTCTAAATTTCTTTGTGTTTTCTGAAACATTAGTTTTCATCCCCCCCCAAAAAAATTAGACTAATCACAAATTGTAAAAATTGTTAATAAAGTAAATAATTTAAATTTCACATGTATAAAAAGTATAAAAAAATAAAACCTTTCTCTTATCCATAGGATACAACCCAGTTCTGGTAATTTTCCATACAATGACTTTACCTTCCTCAGAAGGATGGATGAAACCGATCTTTTACCACATGAAGGGATTTTTGTGTCACATAGACAAAGAGAGGCCTTGATCATTTTATCTGCCACTTTCACCAGTTAAGTGTTTTCCTGTCATGAGCACCACAGTAGTCATATGAAGAAGTCATTCGAGAAAAAGAAAAACCATCCATCCATTCTCTTCCACTTATTCGGAGTCGAGAGGCCCCGACTTCCCTCTCCCCATCCACTTGGGCCAGCTCCTCTGGGGGAATCTGGGCGTTCCCTGACCAGGTGAGAGACATAAAAAAATTCACCATCAATTCCTAACGTTTGGGCTCATTTTGAATTTTTTTGTGTGGATTCAGCAAAGCTGGATGAAAATGATGCACCGTGCAAGAACTACCTAACAAAGGTACGCTATGAACTTTCACAGGAAACGCTGTGCCAGTTAGCTCGCCTGCACAGTCCGGCATGACGTTTTTCAGGCAAATCTCCCTTTTAATTCTTCTAAAGCTACGCTGATAACACTTGCCATCTACGTGTACATCCATGTGTAAGTCCTAGTTTACGCTTCTGTGTCTTTGTTGATACAGAGACACGCAACACCATTCTCCGTATTTGTGAGGGCTCTCCAGCAGGCTCGCAAGGATGGGCGGATTCGACGGACAATGCAAGCTTGTGATTGGTCAGGATGCCGCTTTCGTCAACAGCATCGCCATTGTGCTCTGAAAACATCCAAAGGAAGCTGAATGTTATATTTTATACGTATTAGTTTCAATATAAATCTATAACGAGCCTTTTACTTTTTTAAATCGTGTATATGTTTATTAAATTAAAAATATATGCGAGTTACTACCCGCTAGCCACCGAAGCTGCAACTACTAAGCAACTAACCAACCATAGATAACTTCTTTGGATCTAAAAAAAATATTTTAAGCTGCATTCTGCTTGACCGCCAGTGTCCACCAGCAGGTTCGGGGGTGGTCACCACGACAGGCATTGATGACCCTGCAGTCACAGCTCCGGTTGGCCGCCTCAACAATGGAGGCTCGGAACAGAGCCTAGTCGGACTCAATGTCTCCCACCTCCCCTGGAAAATTTTGAAAGTTCTGTCAGAGCTGGGAATTGAAGCTCCATCTGACAAGAGACTCTGCCAGGAGTTCCCAGCAGATCCTCACAATACGTTTAGGCCTGCCAGGTCTGACTGGCATCGGAGCCAACTCACCACCAGGTAGTGGTCAGTTGACAGTTCCGCCTCTTTCATCACTCGAGTGTCCAAGAAACGCAGCTGCAGATCAGAGCACATATGGACACCTTTATGTCTGAACAGGCTGTTCATAATGGAAAATCCATGATGAAGACATATATATAGCTGGAACCTCTCAACCTTGCACAACAACTCAGGCTCCTTCCCCACCAGAGAGGTGACATTCAGCATGCCAAGAAGAAGAAAATGACATCTAGAATCCAGCTCGTTAGCTTTGTTGAGCTGAATTTAGCTCGTGTGTCAGCAGAACAAAGGACTAGAGCCTGATTTATGCTTCTCCATCTGCGTCAGTGCGGAGACACGCAACGCCATTATCCGTCCTTGCGTAGGGCTCCGGCAGGCACGCAAGTACGTACGGAGTCGAGCCCACTGTTTTAAACATCCGTCGAATGAGACGGATTACGCAAGCTTGTGATTGGTCAGGACGCCGCTGTTGTTTACAGCGCCACCATTGCAAAGAGAGCCGAGGATAACTAGCGGCAGACACGGAGAAGCTTGAAGAATACCTCGCGAAAAACTCTAAAAATATGAACATTTAATTCTCCCGTGACTGGAGGAGTGAAAAGATGCGCAGCAAGCGTTTTATTTGTGGACGGAAATGACAGGAAACGTGGGTTTAGAGGTGGGGAGCGCATGAAGAGGTGGAGGAGGATGAGAGACAAATATGTCCGTGTTTAAAGTCTCTTACATACACCAAAAACACAATATAAACACACTATCTTGGACCGATACATGACAGGATACCACAGAACAGCGCTACGCCCTCTGCTGTCCTGCCGGGGAATTGCTTTGCAACACTCACCAGGAGACGGAGAAGTATGAGAGCAAAACGCTTCCGTCAATCCGTGCGTGTCTGTCCCTTGCGGAGCTGACGGAGAAGCATAAACCAGGCTTTAGCACACACCCTGGAGGGACGCCGAGTCGTGTTATTGGTGGAGGTTTTCTTGACAAATGCGAGAGAACCACTTTATAAATTTTTTCTTAATCTCCCTGATATATTTATACTGTGTTGTAATGTTGATGAAAAAAAACCCACTTTTCTTCCAATCTAGTGAAGATTTTATAAAATATTTGGTGTAACTTCCGTCTGCTTGGTTTAAATTAAAAATAATTCCTGCTGATCCCAAAATCTCATTAGACCTTGATGGCTCCAGCCGGGTTGTTATTTTAGTTCTTACGCTCCAGACCGCTCAAGTCTTTATCTTTCATCCGTTACTTGACTGGATGAGTTATTATTCGACCGAGTCACAACAAAGATTAAAGTGAGAAGCTATTTTTTCTCAGTCTGCGTACCGATCAGAACTCAGATCTTTGGCAGACGTTATTAAAAATAATCTCAAAGTATCTGATGACTTAATGAGAAAGTCGTTACGTCAGATTTATTAAGACTCGTTAATCCTCAGTGTGTTTAATATAAAAATGTCTCCATCCACTTTAGTTTATTACCGTCATAGAAAAACATGAATGTTTCACACGTTACTCAGTGTGAACGGCTCGTTTTGGAGTTTCTGTGTAAAAGTCTCCAGAACAGCCTCTGTTTGGAGAAGTAGAGTTTACTGACTGGTGAGCTAACGGCTGGCCCGAGTGCTGTTTTATTCTAAACCTTTGCCCTAGGGTTGTTTACTTTAATGGTTATTCATAAATGTAAATGTCAACAACAGCAGCAAACGGTAGCACTTCCTGTTTATCGATGGAAAATTCTGCTTTGGTGTGAAGTCCACGTGAACTACAACCAGCTGCTAAACTCCTGCTGGACCTAAATCCTAGATGCACCAGATGTTCTGCTCTCTGTCTGCCTCAGGTGATCTCATGTAGACATCCCTTAGGTCTGAAAGAGTTGTTGCGTCACTGCACAAGCCAGGAGATCAGGTGTCTGCAACACTCTGTGGCCTCAGCATCACTCAAACAAGCTGTTGGCTCATCAGAAGGTGAACTATTTATCTGAACTGAGTCCATTCAAGAAGCAATTATAATATTTACAAAGAACACATTTTACAAATCGGCTACAAAGGGACAACAAACAGCAACAGTCTCTGAAAATGAACGTGTATTCATTAATTTCCCACATAAACACAGGTCCTTCTGACAAACTCAAAGCTTTATTTTCTTTGATCGTTAAACTAAGTTCATAGTTTAGCTGCGTCGTCTGATAAATAAACAGCTCCCAGTGTGAAGAACAGTCAAATCTGAGAAGGAAACTTCTGAATGGAGTCCTCTTGGTCCTCCCGGCCACGGTTCAGTCGTCAGCTCTGGAGGGAATCAGCTTGAAAGCAGAAATGCACCCAGAAAGAGCAAGTTTCGGTTCTTCCTGTGCTGCAGACACACACCGGATCGCTGTCAGTTACGTAACTGCTGCTCTTATCAACTTGTTATCAGTGGTTTTATAAACAACATCTGATCCAGATGATGAAAGTTACTTTTAGTGGAGTTAGGAGGGCAGATCACTTAAATATTCTAATCTAGACACTGGATGTGAATCCTCTTGTTTTTCTTTGGCCTTCGTGGTCAAGACGAGCACTCAGCCAGCTTTTATTAGAGTTTCCTGGAAGCCGACGCTCGGAAAGGGGCAGCCCTTTAAGTGGATGTGTGTCTGGGACGATGGCAGGAGCCAAACAGCTGTTAACTAAACAGTTGGCATCCAGGCGCTTTGATTTTCATTCGAACAGAAGCTTCACGCTCAATTTAGAGTTGTGATCTTGATCTGAAAGTGCAGAAAACACCATAAAAGCCTCCAAATGGCTGAATGAAGACACCGAGGTCACACCGAGACATTTTTGTAAGATTTTCAGCTTTCAGACTCAAAGCTACTGAACTCGAGGCTCCAGTAAAGTGCACATGAAAGGCTATTCTTAATTAAACCTGAATGTTCTCTTCCAGAAGATTCAGAGTTGGGACGTGTCATGCAGCCAGGATTATGGGAATGCTTGTGTTTAATGTTTGTGTCTCGCAGCCGCACCTGGTTTCAGTTCCTGGGAACAATCGCCCTTTTGAAGGCTGATTGTGAGCATTTATCACTCCTTTTAAAGAAATCACGGCTCAATACTTTCACCCCCTCCACCACTGCTTTTATTGTCTCCAGATTGTTTTTCTTGCTGCCAGACTGACCGACGAGTGTGTTTCTTGTTCCAGAAATACCTGCGCGCACCAATCTCGGGCTTATCTCAGAGCTCCATTATGAATCTTTGGCTCAGGTTATAGATTGCACACATTCCTTCTGACATTTTGCTCACTTCTCACTAAAGGTCGACAACGTGCATCTGATGAAAAACATAGCAAAACAGCGGGACAAAGTGTTACTGAGTGGACTAGAGGAACAAACAAGTCTAAAAACATTTACTTGTTTTAAAT